GAAGGGGAAGTGATTGAAGGGGAAAGCGATATGTGAAAGGGAGACTCTGAGAGGGAAAGAAAAGGAGAGTTTTTTTTTTTTAAAAAATTGGAAAAGAAAGAAGCACCAAAAACGCATCAAAACGTATATACCTAGCGACGCCGACATGAAGCCAAATAGATTGTAGACAGACATAAGAAGCAACATCAAAAATATGAAAACCGAGCAACAAAGAACCAGATCTTGAATTCCACTTGCAAAATAAAATAATGTGACGTAACCTCTATGATCTAACCACAGGGGCAGTGTTGGGCGGGATGGGGAGAAGTTTCTGCTTGTAGGTAACAAGACTCGGAAGGAAACAGAACGGGGAGAAAGCGGCGGTCGAGGATGAAGACGTGTAGGTGCCCTGGACTTGAAGGAGGCAACTGCTAATCATTGCCAGTAAGAGAGAAGGTAGGAACTCCCATGTACTTGCCTTGCTCTGTGTTACCAGTGGAAATGACGACCTTGAAGCGATGATGTTGTGAGAGAGGGGGTCGGGTGTCTCTGATATTAGTTGGTCGTAACTTCCATCCGCACTTTGACGCACGCAATTCCACCCCGTCCGAGTCCAGTCAACGTTTCCCCCTTCGCGCCTAACTCGCCTACTCGGCTTGAACCGACAAAGTATCTACCTTACCTACGCCTCTCTCCTCGGCCATCAATGGCAGCTTCTCGCTTCATGCTCGCGACGGATATGTGTCCAAGTCAGTGGGCAATCGCACCTACCTGACCACTGGCTGGCCACCCAGGTCAGCCGGGTGGTACATGATGGCAGTCCTCCCGCGCTCGTCCCAAACACTTCTCTGAAGCCGCTATATCCAAACATCCCCAACCATCGATACCGTTTTCCGTCGCAGGTCACCGCGCCAGTTCTCTTTTTGGCAGCATTTTCAGCCTAGCAACCATTGTAATCGTTAGCTATCGCTATACACTCGTTATCAATATCACGACCATCAAGATCACAATCTCTTCCGCACTCGCTACAGACTGGGCGTGTGACGGCGCAGCTCTTGTCCCCAACTGTCGTCGCACTACGAGTGGGAGAAGCTAGAGTATGTATCGGTCTCCTGACACCTCCTCGCTACTTTGCTGCTACTGCCGTCGACAGCCAAGATGGGAAGCTAACAAAGGTCTCCACTACAGCTTTATCTTGGTCCTCCATTCAAGTGCTCCGTCTCCTGTCGTCCCTTGCTTCAAGCCTCCAAGAACCCTACTCCGATCTCCCCCCAGTAGCTGCCCAAGATGTCACGCTACAACTTCAAGCAGCTCATCTTTGAGCAGTTCTTCCCAGACCCCTTCCAACTTCCCAACCCTGAGCCTACCACGACCACCCCGTCAGCCCTTATAGCCCCAGAAAACAATGCAGGGCAGCCAGGGCAATCAGTCCAAGCCCCGGAGCCGGTCTTATCGTAGGCCGATGAGGTCGCGGAAGAGTTCGGTCAACAACAACCAGCACCGACAATGGTATCGCTCCCAGACTCTGAGGGCGACATCAATGATAACGAGAAAGACGGCGTACAAGTCACTGAAATTCTGCTACCAGACTCTGGAGACGACATCGCAGAGGAAGACGACGTGCAAGTCACTGAAATTCCGCTACCAGACGAGGCAACACCCGCTGTCACGGATGTGGCACCATCAGAGTCTCATCTCCCAGAGGTCCTGTCACGAGGGTCGGAGCTGAATGAATACGAAAATGAAACTGGTTACGAGGATGAGATCAACGATGGAAACGAGTTCCATACTCAGAGTCCGGACCCAGTTGATGATGGAAGGCTTAGCCCAATACCCGAACAGACTGAGTCAGAAGGCTCTCACGGCGATAACATCCCTGTTAGCGATCAGGACGAACCAATTGAGCCAGGGGATGAAAACCAGACTGATTCACAAACAACTGGGCTGCAGGAGCAAGAATCGCAAATGGTTTCAGAGGATCTTACTGCTCCTGGAATGCCTGCAGATTCCAGCACAACTCAGCCTGGGCCTGAAAGCTTCCCGCCCTTATATTTCACGTCAGACAGAACTAAGCTTGTTACACTTCCCGGTAAGTTACGATCGTTCCCCCTCAGGCCACACGTTAGCTGACCAGTTCACTGGACACAGGCAGATCTGGTGGTATTGCACCATCATCTGTTGGCGAGGGACCGTCCGTTGCATCGGAAAGTCATAGACACACCATTCCAGAATCGCCCCAAGAAGATGCAGCGGATGACCAGAGCGAAGATGATGGTTGGATTATCATCGGCGACGATGAGTAGTATCTCGATGCCGATGGCAACTGGAGATTACCACGTCATGGAGAACGACAGAACATCGAAGCCTGGGCAAGAGGAGAAGTTGAACTTCAAACCCATGTTGAGCTTGATCGTGAAGGTATGTTCTCAAGAAAATGCATGACTCGCAACTCTAAAGATATTGAAGCTGACGTCTGGCTCACCTGCAGCCATGTACCTTGATATTGACGCATTAGGTCAAGTTCATCCCTCGCCTCGCGCATCCGAGCCGGAAGATGGTTTATCGGATACATCAACAGCAGTTGAAAATCTTTTGCAAGTTGATCACCATGACCCGCTTCAAATACAGTGGACAAACTATTCCCGGGGACTTGCAGAGCCCCCTATGGGTACGATGGCCCCTATGTTCGATTACCTTCCTTCTTCCGAGATCGCTTCTAACGCACCTTCGTCCGAAGGTAACGAAGTTCTTCCCACATTAAGTAGCTTATTCAACAAGGATACGTTCATCAAGACCCTGTCGGGAATTTTCGAAAGAGGAAAACAACGGAAGGTGAATCTTGATAAGCGGCTCAAGTGGCTTGAAACAAACGAAGACTACATTGAGAAGACCTCGCATATGTCTGAAGAAGAGAGGCGCCAATACGATACGACCTTATCTTCGAACAATCCCGGAGACCATATTACAAAACTAAGGAAGGATTTCTTCGCTCAGCTGGAAGGTTTACGGGACGACATCGAGAAGATCGCGGAACCTCTTGGGAAGCATTCGCAAGCCGGCCGCTCTCCACCGCGAAAAACCCCTGAAGCTGGCGGTGAGCAAATCCCAGTCCCATACGAGATTGAGCAAGAGAAAGCGGACTCAGAGGCGGAACCAGAAGAAGAAGAAAAGACAAAGAAAACCAAAAGCGAGAAGGACAAGGCCAGGAAAAAAGCGCAAAAACGACGTCAGCAGGAAAGAAGGCGCACAGAGGCTCAAAAACAACAGGACGTCACAGCTCAGGATTCTGCGTCGAGGAATGCCTCTGTCCAAGAGGGCGATGAAGAGAACGACCCAATCACAGCTGAGATATCCGATGCAGATATGAGCAGGGTATTGGTCAACAACGGAAAGCAAGGCCGGGAACTATCGAAGAAACATACCAAGAAAGAAGAGGAACAAATCAAAGCTGGGAGGGCTTTTGAAAAATTGACTGATGAAAAATTGGAAAAATCCGAGGTCGGTCAGAAGGAGATTGCCGGAAGGGAAACAAAGGCCAATAATCTGCAAACCAACCAGGATGAGCCTGAGAAGCCAAAGGTTGCTAAAAGGGAAAGGAAGACTGGGAGCTTTCAACCTAACCCGGCTGGATCCGCAAAGCTCAAGGCCATTGAGACAAAGGATGATCAAGCCTCGGATGACAAGACGCCCGCAAAAGAAAGGCGCAAAGCAAAGCAGGCAGATGCGGACCGCAAGCTTGCAGAGCCTACTGCCAAAGCCGAAGAGGAGGAAACCGCAAAGATTGCCGGGGATTCCAAGATCAGAAAACTCGAAGAGCAGCAAAAAGCTAGGCAAGAAGAGGAGGATCGCATAATAGCAGAGCAGATCCAAGCGCAAGAAGACGCAAAAGCTTTTACAGATGCAAAGCGCAAAGAAGCTGAGAAAGCTGAGGATCTAGCCAAGTCTCTTGACGCCGAAAAGGACAAAGCCTTCAGACAGCAGGCCAATGTCGCTGAGGCTGAAATGCTCAAGAAAATCGGAGAGGCAAGGGTTATACTGGCGGAGGCTGAAAGGCTGAAGGAGAAACAAGAAATGAATGCCAAGGAGGCCAAGGATCTGATGGAGGGTGCCCGTCACGCTGCCGAAGATCTTGAAGTGAAAATAGATAAAGCTGTGGAGGAGGGCAAAACCAAAACTGTCGAGGAACTTGAAGCCAGGCGGCGCAAGACACTCGAAATGGTTGACATAACTTCAAATGCGGAAAAACGAGCGTCTGCAAAGATCAAGGTGCATCAAATGGAAGAAGACAAAGCTCGTGAAAATCTCATACTTCTTGAAATACAGAGGCAGGAAGCGATCAAAGCGGAGAAGGCCAAGGCTCCTGACAGGCCCTGGATTCCTGTCGAGAACAAGAAGAGAGAGCAGGCCGAAAGACGCAAGATCCTTCAGGAAGAAAAAAAGGCTACCTTGGCTAAAACTACCACCGAGGAGCCCTCCGCGGCTTTTACGACGGGCAGAAGAACCACACCAGTTGCTGAAACAAGAGGCAAGGCGCTCCCACAAGGCGGGAAGTGGGCGACTGCTGGTGCGTCCAGAGACGGTGCGTCAAGTGGAAGTGGAAACAAATCTACACCACTTGAAAAAGCATCGAATACTGCCCAGTCAAGAAGCGACGCCACCAAAGATGCCAATCGCAAGCATGTAGCGGCCGAGGCTGAGAATCGCCGAGAACTTGAGGCTACTGGGGCTGA